TGGAGTTCCTGGTCCCCCTCGCATCCTCCTCCTGTCTCCCATTGTCTCCTCCTCTCCCCTGTGGACACCTTTCTGGAGAGGGTGTTGGTGAGCTCAGACACAGGGTTACTACCTGCCAGGCAACTCTCCTCAGGCCCTAGGGAGAGGCCCCTAGGCTACATGGGGCATGGGAAGTGAGCCCAGGAGGTGAGTTCAGAGGTTGCTGTGCAAACTGCTCCCAGAAGGGTAAGGTAGGGGAACAGGGAGAGGGGAGGAGAGGAATAGGTATCTCTGGAGCCCCAACCTAGCTCCTCATTCTGGAGTCTGCCTTTTGACTCCCCCACATCAGCTCCGCCAGCCACACCCAAGCTGCTGCTGTTGGAGGAGAGGCAGTGGTGATGCTGATCTTATTCTAGAACTTTCTGTAGGAAACAGCTGTTCTGAAGTTGCAGGGGAGGGGACAGGAGCTCTCTGCAGAGGGGGTACTGCCTGCCATCTTCAGGGTATCTCTATCGCTAGAGGCGGTTGCCTTCAGAGTTGGGGTCTTGCTGGGGTGGGGTGGGCTTGGTGACCAGATGTAGGAGCAGGACAGCCTATACAGAGGGGCTGGGGATGGCCAGAGTAAGCAGCTCTGGCTTAAGGCTGAAGTATGCCATCCCCGGATTTCCTACAAATTCCTTTTGGACAGGGAGCCCCACAGGAGCCTGAGGATAGAGCATAAGGAAGTGGAGGAATTCTTTGTGGGTTTTGTAAAGATGATATACACAGGGCAAAGAGAAACCAACGTACACCCCCCTTAACCCCCTGGTCTGTCTCCCAGGACAGCACACAGCGGTGTACAGTGTGCCAATTTTTCTATCATCACAGACATGGCCTCTGAGCCTGCAGTGTCTCTTTGTTCTCTGAACAAAGGGTGAAGATTGCTCCTTTCTTAGGAACAGATTCCATGTATCTTGGAGATTGCTCCATGTGGGTGCATACAGACCTGCTTTGTTCCTGTGTATGTGAACCACTGTTGTGTCTCCCCAGGACTCTTGACCTCCACAGGGCATGCATGCTTCAGTGGGGGCTGTCTCTCTGGCCATTACAGACAGGGATGAGATGCCACATATACCCTCACCTCCCCTTCTGGGTGCTATGGGCTAAGTTGTCCCTTTGATGGGCCTGCAGTGAGCAGGTGTAATGTGAAACGCACCTCACTGTTTCCAGCAGCCTGGCCATGCCTCTGAGCTGAGTTGGGGAAGAAGAGGACCCTCCACAGCAGTTACTGCTCCCTCCAGCACTTTAGGGTCAGAGTCTGCCAGCCCAGAGATAGAGTCCTCAGAGATGACTCATAGATTAAGAGAACTGGCTGCTCTTGCAGAGGACCCAGGTTCAATTTCCAGCACCCACATGGCAGTTAACAACCGTCTGAAACTCCAGTTCCAGGGGAATCTGACTCTCCTTTCTGTCCTCCACGGGCATTTCATGACACAGATGCACTTATATACATACAGGCAATACACCTATACACGTAAAATAAAATAATAAATACAAATATTTTCAAAAACAACAGGGGTGCGTGTCAGGGACTAGAGTATGGATGAGACAGGCAGGTACAGGATGCTGGGCTTGGGTGGGCTGAATATTCTGTTTACCCATTACCTCACATGAAAATGGTAGGTCACAACAGACATCATGCAGGTGACTACACAGGTGTCCACTTAGGAGAGGGTCCTGAAAGCTTGGACAAGCTCACCAGTGGAGACAGGTACATGGCAGCTGTCACTTTTGGCACTAGTGAGGCTCTTAACCAGACCAGATGCTGGCCCTCTCGAGAGTCAGTGTAGCCACTGATCTGACAGGACAGTCTGCCCAGCTTGAACTCTTTATGTTGTGAATCTATTCATCCCCTTAAACCCTGTGTGTTTATTTAATGCATTTCATAGCTGGTGAGGCACAGGATCCTCTTAAGTCACCCACTCAGATATGGCCGAACTGCATGAGAGCTTGGGAGTATGCTGGGGTCAGGGAGCCATAACAGACTGGAGGAGCCTAGGTGAATGGTAGAGCAAGCTGGGGCAAGATAAATGCCAACATGAGGTCCAGTGTGACCTGGCCCCCTGCTGTGGCAACATTGGGCGGCAAGCCTTGGTGGTCAGCCTCTGAGTCAGCGTGGTGGATCAGCTGTATGTCTGCCCCTGCACCCTCCCAGCCACCAGCTGGGGTCAGGGCCAGCTTACTCATGGCCCTCTCTATTCCTGCAGCTCACACATGGACACCAGGTGGCGCTGTCATCCATCAGTTACGTCGGCTGCTCGCTTTCCGTGCTCTGCTTGGCTGCCACTCTGGTCACCTTTGCCGTGCTGTCGTGAGTCACTCTCTCTGTCCTGACAACTTCCTGGAAATAGTTATTCCCAACCCCCTTCTTCAACTTCACCTCTCTGACTTGGCAGCCAGCTCTCTTCAGGCTATGGCCATGGATAGCTGCTGACCAGTGCCTTTTACTGTCAGATCAGAGGTGTAGGGAAAATCTAGTAAAATAGCAAAGCCTTTTGGAGGCAGACAGCGGGTTTTAGCTATACCAGAAAGGTCTAGAAAGTCTCCCACCTAGACACTTGAAGAATTATGGGGCTCTGAGCTAGGTAAGGGCCAATGCAAGCTTCCTGGACTAATCTTTCCTCAGCAAGCCATGATGCCAAGCTCTGAGGCCCTGACTAAGGCCCAGGCAGGCACAAATACATTTGGATGGGGGTGATCAATCACCAAGGAAATGAAAGCACGATTAAGCATTTTCATGTGTGCCATCACACCATGCACAAGATGACAGTGTAGAGGTGAGCAGCTTGAAGGAAGAGGACAGGAAGGTCTCCCTATGGTTGGCATCTGTACCACCAGGTAAAGCCCTGCCAGAATTGACTTAAAAAAATGGTAGGTCCTACAGCTGTCCTGCACTCAAGTAGCTCCCTCTCTCCTTTTTGCCCTCCCTCTCTACCTGCTGCCCCCACTGATGAGGCGTATCTTCTGCTGGTTCCAATTCAGAATTCAGATTGGTCCCCTGCACAGCCAGGGCTAGGGGAATGAAACAGAAAAGGGCACAGGGAGCTGAAAGGAAAAGAGTTATTGGAGTGTCAGTCAGGGGTCAGACTGTGCAGAGCAGCTGGGACCATGAAAGGAACTGGGATGCCATCCAAGAGCAACAGGGAGCCATTGAAAGTCCAGGCATGGAGCTATGGCATGGGGTTGGTTCTGTGAAGACACTGTGGCTACTCATAGAAAAGTAGATAAGGGACTGTTGTGACAACAGTGTGCGAGGCTGTTCACCTACCCCGCCTCATTTCCACCAAGACTCACCCTTGCCTCTCTGTCTTCAGCTCCGTCAATACTATCCGGAACCAGCGCTACCACATCCACGCCAACCTGTCTTTTGCTGTCCTTGTGGCCCAGGTCCTGCTGCTCATCAGCTTCCGTGTGGAGCCAGGCACGGTGAGTAGGTGTTGGCCCTTATCCTGAAGCCATCCTTCTGCACCTAGGTACTCTGCCTCCTCCCCTGATCACCCCTCTGATCCACCTCCTACAGCTGGCTCCAACTCAGAATTCAGATCGGTGATCTGAATTCAGCACAGGCCAGACTGTGGCACCATAGGAGAAACAGGGAGGGAATTTGTATGTGTCCTTTCCTGAGCCACTGTGCTAGGAGTGGACACAGGTGGGAGTGACCCTGAACCATATGTTGTAGAAGAATCCTTAATGTGAGAAACAGAGCCCAGGTTCCCCAGGAAGAAAATGAAAACCATGTGACTAGAGATACCCAGGAAATGGACACTGGGAGCCAAAAAGTGAAAATAGCTCTGGTAACACCCCAGTTTCACCCTGCATGTTTGCTTGGCTCCCCAGGTCCCATGCCAGGTGCTGGCTATCCTCCTGCACTACTTCTTTCTGAGTGCCTTTGCGTGGATGCTGGTGGAGGGACTGCATCTCTACAGCATGGTGATCAAGGTCTTCGGGTCAGAGGACAGCAAGCACCCCTACTACTATGGGATAGGCTGGGGTATGTGCTAGGGGTGGAGCAGGGACAGGGGTGTGGCCAGATGAAGATGGCTTGGGGTGGAAGTGATACAGTGGGTCTTGGTGGAAATGAGGTAAGGTAGGTAAACATGGGACGGGGTTTGTAGGGGAGATGGAATGAGGTCTAGTGGAGATGGAATAGTATCTGGTAGAGATGGGGTCTGGTGAAGATGGGGTAGGTTCTGGTGGAAATGGGCGTGGTCAGGATCGTTCCAGTTTTGAGCATATCAAGGTTTATTTCATGGCTTAGCAATGTCCCATCCTTTCAAGAAGAATCTGTTTTCTGTTGTTGGATGATGAGTTCTGTGTCTGTCAGGCCTAGCTGGTTCAAGGTGATATTCAAGTTCTCTGTTTCCTCCTTGACCTTTTCTCTAGTTGTACTGCTCATTTTTTTGAGATATGTATTGATGTTACTTTTTCCATTCCTCTGTCTCCCTTCAGTTCTGCTTCCACAGTGTCTTTGGAGCCTCTGCTATGGGGCACACATATGCTTATATTTATGTCTTTGTGGTGAACGAAACTTTCTATATTTATAGACAGCCCTGTCCTTTCTAGCATCATTCTTTGTTTTGTCTGATGTTAGCATGTCGCTTCATTTGGTTCCTGGTTGCTGGCTACATGCTGTGTCTTTCCCATCAACTGACTGTGATCCTGTTGAATGAACCTTTATGTCTAAAGTGTATCTATTAGGTTGGGGAGATAGCTAAGAGGGTAAGAGCACTTGCTATGAAAGCAAAAGGACCCGAGTTCAAATCCCCAACACTCATGTAAAGGCAGGCATGGCTGTGTATACCTACAGTCCCAGTATTGGGAGTCAGAGACAAGTAGATTCCAGGGCCTTGTTGGCCAACTGGCCTAGTTAAATCAAGTTTCTAGTTCAGTGAGGGATCTTTTCTCAAAATATAAGGTGAATAGTGAAGAATCTTGACATCCTCCTCTGGCTTCCAAATGAGTATGTACAAGTGTGCCCACCTGCATACACATGTGCACACACCACACACACTTATAACACATGTATCTCTTTTTAAAATTATTTATTATTTTTATTTTATGTATGTGAATGTATTGCCTGCATATATGTAAGTGCATTTGTGTCATGCAATGCCCTCGGAGGTCAGAAGAGGGTGTCGGATTCCCCTGGAACTGGAGTTATGAAAGGTTGTTAGCCACAATGTGGGTGCTGAGAATCTAACTCAGATCCTCTGTAAGAGCAGCCAGTGCTCTTAACCACTGAGCCATCTCTTCAGCCCATGTATCTGTTACACATGGCATATAGTTAGATCTTGCTTTGTTTAATTTTTTCTGTCAACCAACTTCTGCTTTTTGATTTGATCATTTAATCTTTTCTCAGGTACTATGTTTTCTTTGTTTGTTTGAGGCAGTGTCTCAAGTAGCCCAGGATGGCCTCTAACTCACTATGTAGCTGAGGATGACCTCAAACTTCCTCCTGCCTCCATCTCCCAAGAGCTGGAGTGACAGGTGTTCACTGCCGTGCCCAGTTTTCATGGCGCGGGGGATGGAACCCCCAGGGCTCGTGCATGCTAGCCAGGCACTCTCCCAACTGAACCACATCCGCAGCCCAACACCTAACATTTTGAATTATTTATTTATGCCTTCCATGTCCTTCTGTCTTCTGTCTGCCCTGTTACTCTGTTCCTTCTTCTTTGCTTTTTTGAATTAAGTGGATATTTTCCTATGCAGCACTTTAATTCTCTAAATGAGATTTTCACCATATTTTCTGGGTTGTTTTCTTAGTGACTGCCCTAGTGTGTACGATATGTGTTTCGGCATATTAAAATCTATTTTATGTTATTACTAAATTACAATGTGATATGGAGACCTTGCTCTTAAGTGACTCTATTACTCTATTCCTCTTTCGGTGGTTATTGCTACTCATGTCGCATCTGTGTGGGAGGCCACGCAGCAGCACACCAATCTAATATTACTTTATCAATCTCACCCCTCTAACAGAAGCTAAGAAAGGAGACCGGGTACCTGGGGTTTGCCACGTTAACCATCGGGTGCACTGTGTCTGATCCTCTGCATTTGTCCCTGTGAATCTGAGCTGCCATCTGGTCTTGTCACCGTGCTCCCACACAGCTTTCCTGCCCCCACCCATTACTGGAAAGCTTATTACATCTCTATTTGTTATGGGCCTAATAATGTGGCTCTATAAATGTCATTTGATATTATTGCTTTTTAAGTCAATTGAGAAAAAAAAAGAAGAGAACACGTATCTCTACTGTCTCTTATAATCCCATAATTTATTGGTGCTTTGTGTATCTCTATGTGACTGTGTGTGTGTGTCTCTATAGGTCTATGTTTCTGTGTATCTACGTGTCTGTGTGTCTGTGTATATCTCTGTATATCTATGTGCAGTGTATGACTATATGTGTATCTCAGTATATGTCTGTGTGTCTTTATTTGTGTATGTATGTTTCTATGTGTGTCTGTATGTATATGTTTGTATGTGGTCTCCATGTCTGTGTGTATGCCTATGTGTCTCTCTGTATGTTTGTGTGTATCTCAGTATTTTTGTGTCTATCTGTGTATGTCTCTGTGTAAACATATGTACATCTCTGTGTATCTTGGTGTGTCTGTGCCTGTGCTACTGTGCATGTCTGTGTGTGTAACCACCATCAGGGCCACTAGCTTTCAGCCTGGAGAACTCTTTTTCTGCATCTGGCCTGTTAACCACAAACTCCATTGTAATGTGTCTCACCTTCATTTTAGTCCTTCACGTCCCCCCCCGTTGCCTCTGTCTCCACTGTTTGCCCCAAGTCAGCTGGTCCTGGAACTGAAGGGTTGCTTTTCTCTTGTGTTCATCAGGGTTTGCTCTGTCTCTGTCTTTAAACATTTGCACCGTTCATGTCCGGGCTGCCTCCCTTCTATGGCTGTACTCTGTACCACTGGTCTGGTTCCTCATCCAATGTGGAAACAGACCCTGTGTCTTCAAACACCTGCATTTTTCTGCTCTCCTCCCTGATGCCCTCTTGTGCCTGCCAGGGGGTCCAACAGTGTCTGAGTTTCTCCAATGACTCTGCTGCCTCCTGTATTCCCCAATCCTCACATAGCACATTTGAATCCGTCTTCACAACGGCTGCTCTGTTGCCATCTGCAGTGCCCTTGGCCCCTCACAAGCAGTTTCTCGGCTTCTTTTCCTCCATGTAGGCCATGCATCCTGCTGTCGTATATGCCTGGTAATCTTTCCTGAAGACTCGCTGTGTTAGATGGGATGTTGTAGGGCTCTGGGCCCTGGCCCCTCAGCCTGTGGCTGCTGTCTGCTGTCTCACTGCTCTGTGACTTGGACTATTTGAAACCTGTACAGGGCCAACATTTCCTGCCAGGGTGTCAGAGTGCAGGGACAGATGAGGACAGTGCCCACCTGATGACAGGCTGCTCTTCTCAGGGCTCTATGTAGGGACAGTGGGCTCTGACCTGCAGGAACTCCTCTCTATCCAGCTGAGGTGGGGCAGGGCAGGCTGGTGACCAGTATAGATGAATACTCTACAAGCTGGAATCAGGGGGAAGGCAACCCAGCTGATGGCAGCTTCACCTGGAATAGGGCTTTTCAAGTAGAACTGAGGGCTAGGAATACTGGCTCTGCCCCCGGGGTTACGTTGCAGCCCTGACCTGGGAGCTGGCACAGCGAGCCTGGGAAGGGCTGAACCTGCCTCATGCCACCAGCTAGCACCAGGTGAGCCTACACTCAGGTGTGCCAAGTCTCCTTATTCTTACAGAGATTTGGTAGGTATTCTCAAGTTCATTTTTTCTTAATCTGCTACACACTCTTAGGAAAGTTTACAGGGACTTTGAAAGTTTTTTTTTTTTAATGAGTTTCATCATCTAGTCTCACTGGGTATGGTCTCTGCAGTGTCCAGGCCTTGGTGTGTTGACTGCGCTAGCTCTTGCCCATCCAGTGGCAGTCCATCAGCGCAGGTGGACCTGCTTCCTGCTGAACTAAGAATCCACACCAGCCATTCCTGAAATTGTTGTAAAACATCGACCAGGCTTTGGGGACCTACTGCTTGTTTCTGCTTTCCTTTAAATAGGTTTAATTTTCACAGTCCTGGTTATGCAAGGAGATTAACCATGTTTACTGTGTGTACTTTGAGTTGCAAGTATCATTTATTTAATGATAAAGTAGAGACAGTGACATGTTCCTTGGGCTTCCCTGGGGAGACCAGAGCCCTAGGGCTTCCCTGGAGCAGGGAATGTAGTGGGAAGCTACCTCAGACTGCTGCTGGCCATGCAGGGGGCACACCCACTGTCCCCACGGAGTCTGTTCTGCCTCAATGCTCAGGCTGGTGATCACATGGATGCTTTGACATATGTTGGACATGAGACTAGATATCCACAGCTCTCCACCCCTTCAGTGAGGTCAATTGGAATGTGACCTGCTCCTTCAGTCCACAGACTGTCCAGGGCAGAAAAGGGTAGCTCCTTCCTATGACTTCTGACTTCAGTTAAGGACATGGATGATCTCTTGAAGCTTACTAGTTTCTTTATGGAAACAAGTCATTCTGCTAGAGAGGCAAGTGAACAAAGCTGACATCACCTCTGCAGTGTGTGTGTGTGTGTGTATGACAATGAGTGGTCATATGATAATCCAAGCCATCCAGCCTGGAGGGATATTTCACTTGATCTGCACAATGTTGGAAAAAAGTGAGTTATTTTCTAATATTGAAATACTAGGGCCTTTACCTAAAATGGCAAAGTCATTTTAAAAACTGAAGAAGCCGGGCACCTGAGCTTGTATCCCTGCTTCCCAACATGGCTGGGACCAGCAGCTCTATTACCTACATATGTAATCGCGGCAGAGTTGTCTGCAGTCCTGACACAAGCTGTCTGTAAATTGAGCTCCAGGAAGCTCTGACCCCCACATCCTCCATCCATCTGTGTCCTTCATCCTGCCAAGGCTGGGTTGGCTTTGGGCCTAAGTACAGTCAGTCTGCAAGCAGTGGACGCTCTACCTTCAGCCTCTAATGAAGAAGGTGGTAGAACCGACCCAGGAGGCCCTGCTGTAGGTAGAGCCCATGGGAGACATAGACTCTTTCCCTTTGGTCTCACTCTGCATCCTCCTCTAGCCCACAGGTAAGAAGCTTTTGGAAACCTAAGCATGTTTGGAAGCTGAGGTGGGGGAGGTATAGAGTCAGGTACAGGTTTGTTGGCAGCCATGCCCTGTGTTGAGGACAGGGTCATGGTGATAAGGAAGACAGGCTCTGTGCTGTCTGCACTTTGATACAGAGGACTAGAATATGATCACCAACTCAGGGAGCATTGTCACTGGATCTGTTGTTCTGTGCTGAACTTGATCTCTTCTGCGAGTTCCCTGTCATCTAGGGCAAGACCTCATGGCAGTCTTTCCTGGCTTGCCTTCCTCTGAAGGAGCCTGTATAGCCCCTAGCCCCTAGGCGGTGGTGGGTTATCACTCAGGGTGGGCTGAGTGATGTTGCAGTAATGGCCAGCTTTCTACCCTCATCAGGTTTAAATGCCGTGTACTGACTTCCTGTTTGTGAGACCTGTCCACCATAGGCCAGTGGTAAGAGGAGATCAAGTGCCCGGGGTTAAGTAATCACTGCCTGGAGTCAGTGCTAGAAATTCAGTACTCAGCACATAAGACATACCACTCCTGCCTGTCACTGTTCAAACAAGCCTTATGATTCCAGGAGCCCTGCAGGGTAGAGTGGGCACCTCCCATGGGTGGGGCAATGGCAAACATGGGACAGGTGGCCTTGGTGACTTCCAGTCCAGTTTCCAGTGACCAGCCCTATCCAGTAGTGGCTCCCTGAACATTCCTGTTACTCATGCTGGCATCTCAGGAGACAGGAGCTAGGGATAGCACCAAGCTGGGTCCTCTGGAAGGTCACAATTATTCTATTCCCAAGGTAAGCATATCTCAACCTGGAGAGAATGTTTCTATGGCAACAGGGCCAGAATGACTCCCAGTGTTACACAGAAACGTGTCACAAGTTTGCCGGGGTTTGGGGGAGAGAGTTTCAGATGAGGCTTCAGTGGGAGCAGGTAGGGAATCCAGGGATCCAGTATGCCAGTTATCACAGGGATCATTATCACTTTCCAAGGGCTTTGCTATTCCTTCACATGTATCCTGTAGGGTCCTTGCAGCAGCCACATGTGAGTATCTTGCAGTCTCTATTTCCTAAACAAGAATGTGGAGGCCCAGAGAGGTTTCAATCAGCTTCCTGAGGCCACACTGCAGATTTGGGGTGTCCCTAGGAAGGAAGACAGATGTTATTTGTCCCCAAGACCCCAGCTTCTCCAGTTGCTGTTTTTCTCTGAGGCTGCTCCCCTTATTTTCCCACTTGTGAACCTTTTCTTTTTAACTTCTGGCCAGAAGCAACTTACAGAACCACTTGTCTTCAGGAAGCTGAGGCATGCAGTTTCCTCTTCTAGAGTCATTTCCCTTGAACACCCTCATTGGGGGAGACCTGGGGTGGAATAGGGAGCCAGACTTTTTGGCTATTTGCCCCCCTTTAGAGGGTGCAGAGTGGGCAGAGGACTCAGAAGGTACCAGTTGCTGAGCCTGTAGAAGATTCTGAACTATCAGAAGTATTTGCAGAATTTGAGAGGGATCAGCCTGAAAGTTCAGGTATGTGGGGGAAATGGACATCCATGTCTTTAGACAAATCCATGGATGGTTGCACCTTGGAAAGCTCTGGAATGCTGAGCTATTTCTTCCTTTTGGAAACACATCTGAATATAAGTCCTCCAGGCTTCCTAGGAAAGAGCTATCAGATCGCTCCAGGTGGCTAACCCTAAGAGCAGTTTGATCCCAGAGATTTCTCTTGACAGGGAGACAGAATGCTCTGGAAAATGCTGGTCTAGATGTTTCTCTTTGTTCTTAGACCTCCCTTCCACTGTCTCTCCAATTTATTACACACACAGTTTTAAACACCAGAAATTCAACTCCAACTGGCTTAGGCACAAAGGGAATTTAATGGGTCACATATTCAAGATGGTTCAGCCTGGTGGATTTCAAGGATGGCTTGATCCATGGGCTTCCCCAGCACATATTTGCCTTTCTGGACACCCTCACTGCCAGCACCCTGAGCTCTCCTCAACTCCTTGTGGTGCCAAGATGACTGTTCTCACTGTGAAGATTGCTGCACAGGCCTACTCACTACCCTTACCCCATCAATGTCTTTATCCTCTGGGAAAGAGCTCTCCCCCCTAGTCTCAAAGCCAATCCCTGATGGAGTCTCATTGGTCCATCTAGGTCACATGTTCATCCTGTAATCAGTTGCTGTGGCCAGTGGGATTAATGGTTCAGTGAACCAGTCATGGGTCACATAACTAGTAGCCAGGAAGGAGCCAGTTTGGGCCCCATTGATGGAGAGAAGAATGAAGAGTTATGGACCCAAACACGGGCAGCATGGGGACTGTGCATTTGACAGTGTGGTGAAACTGGCCCAGGACCCTCCCCTTTTCCTATGACTGTGGAGCAGTTTCTCAGCCCATACCCTTCTGTGGGGCCAACTGGTGCAGTGTGGAGTGTTCAGCAGTATTGGGTGCTCAGGGCGCATGCCCCTGTTAAGACAAAAAACATCCTCGGCCACTGGCATGTGCCCCTTTGGGTCAGCTTGTCCTAGCTGGAAACTATGGCCCAGACTAAGGACACAAAGCTTTAACTTTTGTCACCATGTACTACCCTGCCCCAAGCCTTGGGCTGTGACAGACCCCTAGGCTCCCATGCAGAGCCAGAAGAAGATGCTGTGTTAGTATGCACCATGTGTGACCTCTGGCTTAGTCTGTGAAGTCCTCATATATAACGGTGCTCTGTGCCCAGCCCTCAGTCATGGTCCCCAGTGTGTACACCAGCCATGAACGGAACATATGCATTTGTGGACAGAAAGAGATGGGAGCAGATCACCTGACATCTTCGTCTCTCCACAGGGTGCCCTCTCCTCATCTGCATCATCTCCATGTCATCCTCCATGGACAGCTATGGAACGAGTGACAGGTACATGACCCTCGTCCTCTGAGCATGTCTTATGATTGGCAGGCCTGTTGTAGGGAAATGTGCTGGGAAGCATCCATGTGCTGCCCTCAGCTGTCCATGTTTGCCTGGGTGCAGGTTGAGTACCAGCAGACTCCTCCAGACCTGGGCAGAAGGAACTAGAGCAATCCCATTCTGCTCTTAGAACTAGCAGTACAGGTGTACACTGTCCAGGAAGGTGGTGGCAGCTGACAGAAGTTTCTGATGGGACTTTTTTTGCATTTATTTATTCAGTGTGTGTGTGTGTGTGTGTGTGTGTGTGTGTGTGAAAGAGAGACAGAGACAGAGAGAGAGAGAGAGAGAGAGAGAGAGAGAGAGGTGTAGCAGTCAGAGGAACTTTCAGGAGTCCGTTATCTCTGGGTCCCAGGGATTGAGCTCAGGGCATCAGACTTGGCAGCAAGTAGTTTTACCTGCTAAACCATCTCACTGACCTTGATAGGATTTGTTAATCCATGTACTCCTCCCAGAGGCACAGCTCTGTGGAGCCTATGTGTGTGACCTGAAGACCCTTCTTGGGTGGTCAGCAAGTAAACAGTACAGTAGGCACCCAGCTGAAGGGATATGAGAATATACAAATGAACAGTCTGACATGCACAGGTAGACGGGCCTTTGGGTCCTTGCCTGGCCAGGAGGCCTGGGCCAACCTCTTTGCCAGGATCCCTCTGTGTCCCAGTGGTGTCAGGAGCAGGGCACACTAGAGTCTAAGAGTAAAAGTTGATGAGTCCCTGGGGTCCTGACTCTGGGAGGACATGGAACCCTGCAGAGTGCTGACCATCTCTCCCAGGTCAGGGGCTATGTCCTTCAGAATGGGGGACTCTCATACCCTGGTTCCTGCACTATAACACATTAGAGCAATCTCTGGGATGCACTGGGCCTTTTCTTTCAGTAATTTCCATGGGTGTGTGGTGACTGGCAGGCTCCAAGCACGTGGGGAGGGCCAAGTGCCCCATAGCATGATGACCACCTCTTTCTCTGAGACCCAGTGAAGGCACATGCCCACGTTTGACTTGCTCTGTGAACTCTGAAGCCAGTCCTTGGCATGGCTTTTTGTTTATTCTGGTAATAACAGAATATACTCTGGTTTTAGCTGGATTCTTCAGAGGCAGTTGACCTAGACAACAGTTCTGGGAAATCCTGTCCAGGGAGATGCGTGAAATCACCACGGAAGTGTGTGTGTGTGTGTGTGTGTGTGTGTGTGTGTGTGTGTGTGTGTGTGATGAAGAGCCAGTATCAGAGAAGCTCTAGAACTGATGAGTCCTTTATCAGGGCTGGGGCCCTGCCATTGCTATGGCTGAGGACCACCGGGGTGGAGGTGTCTAGATGATACCTAGAGGTGAACAAGGTTGCTGAAGTAATGCTCTGTTCCCTCCAGCTGCTGGCTGTCGCTGGGGGGTGGTGCCATCTGGGCCTTTGTGGGCCCTGCCCTGCTGGTCATTGTGGTGAGTACTCCCTCCCTTGTGAGCAGATAGATCCAGGCAAGGTAGGAGTGGGGCCATATGGATGGTGCTGGGCTCCCTGAGAAACACCCCAACAAGTATCATCACACTGTCACTTGTCCTTCATCCTTCCAGCTCCTCCTGGGGTGACTCTGAGCCTTGATGACCCAGTCTCAGGAAGGTTCTGGGTTTGGTGGAGGTCCACTAAGCCCTCAGTGTACCTCCTCTGAGTTCAGTCCTAGAGGCAAGGCCAGACTTCTGCTGCTGGGTCCTCACATGTCTGCCTCCTCCTCTTAGGGAGCCCTAGCATTCTAAGACTGGGGTGCTAGTGGGATTCCCGAAGCCCTATATGCAAGTTAGAATCCCTCTGGTTACAAGTAACAGTGAAGATAGTCAGGAGCATAGAAATGGGGATCAGCCACATAGGTTACTAAGTAGGAGCACTCGCCCTGTGGCTGGGGAGCTCCTGTCTCCCCTGTGGCTGCGCTCCATGGTGGATGTCCCAGGGGCTCACACAGGATTCTTGTAACCATGACTAAATTCTCTTGTCAACCCCAGTGCTTATCTATGTACAGAGTCTCAGTCCTGCTGACCCCAGTGCCTGTGTACAGAGGTTCATGTCTGTGATCCACTTCTTCCTGTTGGCTCTAGTGTCTGTGTACTGAGTCTTGTGCCTATGATCTACTTCCTCCTGCTGGCCCCAGTTCCTGTGTATGAAGGTTCATGCTTGTGACCCACCTCTTCCTGCTGATCCCAGTGCCCTGAGTGGTGGGGCTCATGTCCATGTTGCATGTCTTCCTGCCAGCCCTAGTGCCCCTTATCATAGAGCTAGTGTCATGGGGCCACTCCCTCCTCCATTCCCTTGTACAGACATGCTGGTCAGGTACTTGGAGCTGAGTATATCCTGTGTGCTGGGAAAGGGACCAGGCAGGGGCTGCTCTACTGTTTCCTAGCAAAGCACCCCTTATACTTTGCCTTGGTGCTAGGCTACCTACCCAGGGGTCTCTGAAGTTCAGGACTGGGAAGGGTCCATGATTGTGGATGTGCAAGTCCACAGAGCAAACTGTAGCAAACTGTACCCACAGGGCCAGGACCCTCGGCAGGGGTTCCTGCCTAGACTGAGCCACAAGTGGGATTTTGAAGATCCTGTCCTTTGACTGCCTCCTTTCTAGGTTGTTAGGTCCTTTCTAGGGCCTATGAGGCCGGTGCTGATAGATGCCAAAGGATGCCCCTCCTAGAGACAAACAGGACTTTGGTACACTGGTTTACCATTTCCAAGATGGGGTATCCCAGCTCCACCCTGATAGCAGCCGCAAAACTGTCTCTACAGCTCAGATGACACATCAGATGTCATGTGGGTCTGAGATGACATCTGAGCTTTACCTTCTGCCTTCACCCATACATGCTTCAGGAAAGCCATAACCCTGCCCCTCACTCTCTCACCTCCCCTGCTCCTTCACTGGACTGTGAATCTGTATGACTGTCCCCATTTGGAGGCACTAGCCAAGGCAGGACCCCAGTGGTTAATTAGTAAGGAATCAAGGGAGATCCTGAAAGCCTTCCCTCATTCTTCATTGAAATCCTGCCGACACCTTTGTGTTGCAGGGATACTACAGTGACTTCTTGGCTGAGGTTTCCAGAGGGCAGAGAGTGAGCAACCAGCATGGAGTCTATATTGATGGTGTCCTTTGGGATAGGAAGGCCAGGTGCTGTCACTGTGCATGTGGTCCCCTGCTGTGCACATTCTAGTAGTAACTGGCATGGGGTCCTTGGTGCCCTCCTGTGGAGTGAGGAGTGGCAGAAGCCAAGAGGGAGGTGCAGGCAGCCTCTAAAGGCCCCATGGTCAAGGACAGGGTTGCTCTAGTGCAGTCGATACAGCTACATCTGCTTTGAGATTGCTTTCAGGCTGCAGCCACACCTGCTGATTTACAGCATCTGCAGCTCCTCCAACTGCAGCTCTGAGATCTCTGCAGCAGACACTGCGGCCTTCAGAGCCCAGAGTATTTGCTACCCAGTCCTTGACAGAAAAAAATGGCCAATTCCTGGGATGAGGCATACTGTGAAGGGTCCAGCTGACAGCTAGGCCTCAGGCTGGGTGCTGGAAGTGGAGATGGGGTGATGTTTTGTGCCCCCAGATCTCAGAATATGGAGAGTTTTCTGCCCTCCTGGCTGTGTCTTCATTCACCCAGAAGTCCTCTATCTTACTTCCAAATGCAGAAAGCAGGTTTTGGATGTCAAGCGTGGCCTGACCCCATTTGTGTAAAAGCTCTCTGTGGACACTTGTTCTCATGCAAGTGGGAGATGGATAAGAAAATGTGGGGCAGGCGCTCTTGAATGGAGGACCCATGGGGAGTGGTGTGTGGGTTTGCCACTGCATGTGCTTCAACTTTATCTGCATCTAAAAGCACCCCACAAGTCTTGCACAATTTAAAAAATTTTTATTTTTATTATTTTAAATTATGTATATGTGGGGTGAAGTTGTACACATATATCCATAGCTACAGACACATGGAATCACAGATAGAGACACAGAACTACAGGCTTATAGATCCACAGCTAATAGATGCAGAGCTATAGGCTCATAGATCTCTGGCTACAGATGAGAGCTATGGACATATAGTCCATAGTCACAGATGTACAGATATAGTCATAGGCATAAATTAATATAGGTATATAGCTATAGATATGGACAAATACATATGTAACAGATACTGTATTTTTGCCAAACTATAAACAGGCAAATGCATCTGCATAAAGACAGAAAGAAAGGCAGGCAGGCAGGCAGGGAGGGAGGGAGGGAGGGAGGAAGGGAAGGGAAGGGAGGGAAAGAGAGAGAGAGATGCACATGCATGAATACATCAGTGTACATGCATGGATATACATAGAGTTTCCAGGTAGATACAGACACATGAATGTTGGGACATAGTGCACACTATTGTGGACACACTATTTATTTGTGTATGTGTGTGTGTGAATGTAGATACTATTTTTCTGTAAAATGCTGGTATACATATCAGTGTTTTTTCATAAGCTCTTAGATGACCCTGAGCTGACAGCTGCAGAGCCCAGCCCAACATCAGAGGCCCCACCCACCACTCCTCCTTCCTCCCCCAGAGGTTACCATGATCTTGTCCTTCTAGTCATTGGCTGTGGTGGGCTTTATGGTTTGATTTCCTGGTGCACAGCTCCTGTCTTTTCTTCTGAAACACAGCTTGTGAATCATTTCTTTGATGTCAACCCTTAGTAACTTGTCCCCATTATGATGGGCCATACAAATTGATGCAGCACCCCTGAGAATCACATCATAGGCCTCCTCTCCCCACTATACCTTTCCAGTTCTATTAGAAGGTGGACCAAGTTGAGCAGAGTGGAGCAGAGGGGACCAGGCCTGCTCTCCTCTGTAGTTTCGTGAAATTCTAGATCATCTAGTTTATAAGCCCCTGGCTCCTGCCTTTCTCCACAGGTGTAGGATTGGAGACTATGGTAAGCTTCAGCCCCTCTTGCCATGCCGACAACAGGATGGTCCTGATAACAGCTATAGATGCAGAGCTACAGACACTTGATAGTTAGCAAGAGAAGTGGTGGAGGAACCCCACTGCCATGCCTCCAAATAAAAACAGACACACCCAGGCTGGGGGAGGGACAGGAATAAAACTCAACAAAATCTCTAGAAAGAGAAACGGTGATTGTGGGGATGGCTAATGACCTGAGCAACTTGGCTGCTGTTGGGACACTGTATGGCTCTCCACTGCAGCAGCCTGAAACCATCGCCTATGGCATTTTCATGTTTCTAAAACACTCCACTGTAAGTTGATTGTCCTGTTGATAGTAGCCTGGAAACAGTAGGCTGTGAATCCTTCATCTTTAATCTGAGAAGATTTGGGGTGGAATCATTTTTTACAGTGTCCAGAGGAGGTGTTGAGATCATGAACTCAGGTGGCATGCTCATGACGTGGCCTCCAAGTTCATGTGGGGGTGCTGGGTAGTTATGACCTCTGCCCTCACACGACGTATCAATCTCCTCCACATCAGCCATCTGTCCCTCCCCCAGGCCCGTCACCATCCCTGAATCACCAGAACCTAGCCTGGCTACATCTCTTTGTGACCCAAAGGTGCTGTTGAGGTATTTTACGGAAAATGAGATCCAAGTAATTTTCCTTTTAGTGTATAATTGCCTAAAATTAAACTCTATTTAAGCTATTTGTTTTTAAATTTGTGGCAGACATGGTTTAGAGAAAAGCTTAGGAATATATGAAAAATCTTAATATATGAATAACCTCTGCCCATGCCTGCTTCTCACACCTTGGTGTCCACCCTTCCCCAAGGGGACAGGCCTGGACTAGCTTCTTGAGCGCCTTGGGTTTCTACAGATTGGGTGCCTACATCTGTGGTTTCACCCCAGTGGTGTCTCCTCTGGGGGAGCACAGGGCCTCGGGGCTTTGGGTAGGAAGGATGTCTACATCATGCCCACACAGTCTCATGGCTTGGTCGAAGACTGCAACCCACATCCGAAGTTTTCCAGTGCATATCCAAGTCTCCTCTAGCTGTCAGCCTGCAGCTTTCACAGGTGCCTGAGGTTTTAAAAATATAAATTCCCAGAATGAAAGGGGCAGGCTAGCAGCAGACTGGTGAGAACACAAGTAACTCTCTCCCACCCCTAGATTCGAGGAAACTATTGGAGGAATTGAGGTCTTAAAAACCCAGCACCCTGGAAATGAACTACAGGCATACAAATGAAAAAGCTTTTTTTTCTATAGAAAATCTACTACATCTCAGCCGAGCCAGCAGGGTTTATGGCTTTCTGACCTGCTGCTGCTCCCTCTCCATTCTCCCTCTGACACAAGTGGGCACCCTGTAGGATTCAGAGCACACAGACTGGGGCAGCAGATTGAAGACAGCAGGCTGCTCTCAGGTGTCAATGGCCCTGGCTGTCTGGAGTGTCACCCTGCCCCTTGAAGCAGTCATCACACTTCGCTTGCCCTGACTTCTGTCACTGTCCAAGTTGGAATGTAACTAAGTGTGAAAACCAGTGGCCTGCCACTCCCATTGCCCCTCCTTGATTCAGTTGAATGCTGTTTTCTGGTCACTGGGAAGGCTGGAGGGCAGCTGTGTTACTGGATACGCTGATGTGCTTACTGGCTATGTGTTAACTTCTCTCATCTTTTCCAACCTTGGGAGTCTGTGTTGTTACCCAGAGCAACAAGACCCCAAGGGAAAATGACAGTTAAGCTTTTATTCATGTCTGTCGGTAGGATAAGCAAGAGGCTAGACAGGAGACGTGAGGCACCCACAGTGTCCCATTTTCCTGGGAACAGCATAGCACAGACCAGGAATTGTCTCTGCTGAGAGTCTTCAATAAAAGGCTCAAGATGACTGATGGGAGCTGGGAGGAGGCAGGGGAGCGGGCTGGAGTGGAAAAGTACCAGCTGGAATCAGAGAGGGGAAAGCAGCTCAAGGCCTCAGGATCAGGCAGTCTCTGCAGAGGAGCCTCAGAATGGCCTGGGATGCAGCTCCCTGGGCTAGTGACAGGAATGGTGCCAGGAGGTTGTGGGGTAGGGGGTCCTGACAGCAGTCCCCTCCTGTACTGCCAAGTCTGGCTATGCACAATGCTGGACAAGCCACCAGCTTCCCTAAGACCTGCTGGTGGAACGTCTGTCAGCTCTAAGGTTGTGAGCCTGGAACTGGCTTTACAGGGATTGTGTCCATCTGTGACCTTGAAAAATTTGACACTTAAGGGGATGGGCTCTGATCACAATGCAGCCCAGACAACCCACCGTGGGCCTCAAGCAGAAAGAGACAGAGGGTCCTTCCCTCTGCTGTTCCCACCTCATTCCCTGCTATTGAGGACCCCAGAGAGCCGCCAGGTGACTCACTGGCTGGGCTGGAGCCTGGAAGCCTGAGTCCTGACCCATTGCAAGAGCCCAAGGGAAACCACCCAACAGGTCCCCACTCAGGAGTGCAGCTCACAGCATCCCACTACCATGGCTTCTAAATGCCATATAGCCAATTCCTGTGAAGAGAACCAGATACCAGGTGTGGTGGGCTTTGGTGTCCTATGGGTGAGCCCAGCTCTTCACTGTCTCCCTGTTTCTCCTCCCTCACAGGTCAACATTGTGATCCTCATTGCTGTAACCCGGGTCATTTCCCATATCAGCACTGACAACTACAAGATACATGGGGACCCCAGTGCCTTCAAGTAAGTGTGAACCCTAAGTATCCACACCCCACTGTGCTTCCCATGTGGGGGCTACTAGAAAATCCAGGAGGGTCAGACAGTCTTGCCTCCCAGGGCAGGCACCTGAGCCCTCTGCTGGCTCTACATGTCCACATGGCCAGCCTTGTTTTGGGTCCTTATTGCCCTGTTCGTTCATCCCTGGTAACTCAAGACCAAGTCCTAACCCAGCCTTGAGGGCCTCATGAAGATGTTCTCCTGGGTCTGCTCAAGCCAGAGTAGGGGACAGCTGGGGGAGGGCAGGGGAAGATCCCGGGGGAGAAGATCCAGCTTTTAGGTCCTACAGCAATAGGCCCCTCCACTCCTCGCTTCCCTCCTGGTGGGAGGGGAATAACAGGACCCTCCTCATGGGCTGCTGTGTGAAGGAAGACCCTAGCAAACAGAGTGTTCCACATGCACTGGGCTGGCCACTAGAGGAGGAGCCTCTTGGAAGCCTCCCATGGGACCCACACACAACTTGAGGCTGCCTGAGTTGTGCTTTTCTGTTGGAAGCTGCCAATGGCAAGTGATAGAAAAATTCACAGCAATTGGCTTTGGCAGAAGGGGACACAGGCGACCATGAAGTCGCAAGCTTAGATACCCCATACATGGAGACATGGTCTCCTGGACTCAGTTCACCTTTTGTGCCTTTCCTCCTGAACCGTGAGCTCCATGCCTACCACACTGCCCTCCTGGTGGCAGAATAGCCACGACCAGAGTCCAATGTTTGGAAAGATTTCTCTCCTGTGCAAGTGGGATGGGACTATGGTGACAGTTGCTGGGCCTTGTGCTCTCTATGAACCAGATCCAATGGGGTAGGAGTCACCCACGAGATTCGTGGGCTTGAGTCTTACAATCCTGCCTGACCCTAGGCTGTTGCCAGCATACTGAACCCCAAGGATGAAGTCTGAGGGACCTCTCAAAGGTGATGTGGGAGCTCTTGTAGAAGCAGTGTGAATACCAGGCTGCTGATATCTTATAAGTGACTTTAGCTACAGTGTATCTTTTCTGATGTGAGAGCAGGAACCATAAACATGCCAGCAGCAAATCGATGAGGTAATTATTCTGTAACAAATCCAAACACTGTAAATTAGCCTGACAAGTGGCTGCAGCTCTCTTGGAGTTTTTCAGTCCCTGGAACTATCCAGGCTGTGCCCGGGTGAAGAAGTAAACTCATGGGGTCAGGAGTCATTTCCTTACTCCTCAAACAGACAGAGGGAGGGCTGCCCTGATCCTGGGTCTGTGCCTTGAACCACCATAGCCCCACCAGGAGGCCTTGCCCTTCCTCAATCCACCCTCAGCCCCGAGATCCCTCAGTGGTCAGGGCTTTCAGTCTGTTCCCAATTCTCATCCACAGCCCAGATTTTCATTCCTGTTCTAGCCCAGCACCTGCAGGACCATGGCTATCACTGTGCCCAGAACACCTGTGGTCCTACCACCCTGTTCCACCCACCGCCCCTTCCAGAGCCCAGCACAGAGGTGCCTTCATCTACAATCTCTCTTCACAGAAGCACCACTGAGGGCTACCCCTGTCTGGGCTTTGTAGGGCTTCAGTGGTAAACGGACACCCAGAAGCGAAGGTTGGTGTTGGCAGAGCCATGGTGGTCTGCCCACAGTGCCCGCAAGTATTCACTCAGGTGTTCATAGACATCCTGGTCTCATTCCCCAGTGAGCTGTGTCTATTCTCAATGGACCAGGTACCCTAAAATCCTCCTGGCCTGCCTTATCTGCCCACTGCCAACATGACTATCACTGTCTCTTCCAGATTGACAGCCAAGGCTGTTGCTGTGCTGCTGCCCATCCTGGGCACCTCATGGGTGTTTGGGGTACTTGCTGTCAATGACCGGGCCCTGGTCTTCCAATACATGTTTGCTGTACTCAACTCCCTGCAGGTAAGAGCCTGCGGGACTGCAGGCAAGCAGCCCTGTGAGCTTCCGCTCAGTTAAAGCAGAGTCCAGTATCTTCTGATAGGAAGTCACTGCCCAGGGTTTTTGGCCCTCTCTGAACTGAAACTTTCTAGGAAGCCCCTGCCTCACCCAAGCAGAACAGAGACTCTTATCATAGCAGCTGAAAGTAGTTTAGGATGCACGGTTCGACATTCCTGCATCTACATGGGCTGCAGCCTCAGGCTCCCAGCACAGCAACCCTCCCTTCCAGTGAGCTGTGCCCAAGCTACCGTTAGGCCCGTGTGAGGGAGAAACCTTGGGTCAAAGTGCAAGCAGCTCTGATATCTCTTCCCTTCCTTCCCAGGGCCTCTTCATCTTCCTCTTTCACTGTCTCCTGAACTCCGAGGTATGTCCACTCCACTTTCTGACAGCATGAGGTGGTTTTTCACTTCTGTAAGGGCATAGAGAACAGGGTAGTGTTGTCCAGCGTAAACAGTCCTCATGGAGGCTCCACTTGGGAACCACCTACTCTGATCCTGACGTTGGTACCAGCTCTGACACTGGGGTTTCACAGTCCTGTCCTTACATTGGATGTCCCAGGCACAAGGCCAAGCAAGTCCCTAGAGGCCGTTGGCAAAGACTCTTTGAGTAGAGTTTGCTACTTAAGCCTCTGAAGTTCCTTATAAGGCTTCTTCCTTCTACCTTCACAGGTGAGAGCTGCCTTCAAGCACAAGACCAAGGTCTGGTCCCTCACCAGTAGTTCTGCCCGCACAGTCAACACGAAGCCCTTCAGCTCAGACACCGTGAGTGCAGTGTGACAGCTCTGGTTGAGCCTCCTCTTTCTGATTTACTAAGCTTGTTCCAAATGTCTTCTCCCTGGTCCCCTCACCATCCTGGGGGCTCTTGTTAATGTGGCCGTTATTAGGACAGGGCAATCTTGACTATCAACCTGGCTGTGGGAGCAGCCCTGGCCTCACTTAAGTGAGCATGCTGCGGGAGAGCCGTGTTTAAATCAAGTGCTCCACTGGAAACTTCACTCTCCTCCAGGCCCCCAGCAAGGCCCAGGTTGTCTGTGACACAGCCCACTTACCTGCTGTCTAGATCCTTGCTCTGGTGTCTCTTTTCTAGACAGCACTAAGTAAATGCGTCACTGCCCCATGGCCATGCTCCTGCCACAACTTTTTGCCTAATGGCTATTGTCTGTACCCCTCATGGGAATAAAGAATTCAGAGACAGAGAATGCAGCTGCCTTATCTAGCAGCTCCATCAGGGCCCAGTGCACAGCATGCTCAAAGAAGAGAGCGCAAGTGACTGATAGACAAGAGAATGGATATGCCCTGGGTTTGGTGTGGACAGAACTCACACAAGGTGCTTTGGTCTGGACTCTCTGTTTAGAGCCTCGTGTCTTAGGGAAACAGTGGGAACCCAAGCTGGGTTCCAGGTCCTCACATGACTTTAGGCCCAAAGCTTTTTGCACACATCTGGGGTGGACTCCACCTCTCAGAGCAGTCTTCATGCCTCACTTTGTGTTTTGCAGGTGAATGGGACCAGGCCAGGCACAGCCTCCACAAAGTTGAGCCCATGGGACAAGAGCAGCCAATCTGCCCATCGTGTGGACCTGTCCGCTGTGTGAGCAGGGAGGTTGCTACACAGAACAAGTGCCCTTCCCTAAGCAGAGCGCAATGCACACCCTGCCTCCACCTCAGGTCCCTCTCCTCCCTGCTGCCTAGGCATGGGGTCATGGCCCCTGCCTATGACTGTGGCAGTGTCCCACCCAGCACTGCAAATTGACACAGGATGGTGTGACCAGAGATGATGTGGCCCTTCTGCCCCAGTGTAATGGGGGCTTCTGTCCTATGTGGACACCAGAGCACAATGTAGCCCACAGTGACACCAAGTGTGAGCCTCCCTTGTCACTGCATTCTGGTATCTCTGCCCTTGCTCCCCTAGAGTCACCCACCATCCTATGGTGGGGTTTTGTGAAGGTTGAGTGTGGCAGCCTAAAGGTACCATCGTGTGGAAGAACTGACTCAGCCACTGTTCTGTGAGCTCTGTCTCTGTGGACCCAAAGTCAACCTTAAAATGCCCCTTTCCTTGTAAGCCTCTTCTGCCATCCACAGGCCCCTCCAGGGCTGATGGTCACCTGCCTTGTGCCCCCCCCCATCCCCCAGCACCTGCATCTCCTGGTTTTCCAGGGTATAGCTGCCCCTGGGGTCTGCTGTCTCATTTAGACTTGCCACCTCTTTGTAAGAGCCAATGAAGCGTCTCACAGTTGGGTCATCAGACGTCCTTCACTTCATGCCCAAACTGGGCACATTATGTGGAGGCTGCTCCCTCTGATGATCACACGAAGTCCTGACTGGTGGGCAGGCTTCTGGGTTGGTATGAATAGATAGAGTAAGATCCAGCCCTGGGAAGTGCAGTCATTGTGACAACTGCTTGTGAGAAAGAACCTCATGTGGATGGGATCACAGAGAGAATTCTTGAACAGGCTGTGAAGGGCCGGCTGTGATGGGAGCCTGAGAATGTCTGTGGCATGCACCACCAAGACAGCCCAGCCGGGTCCTGATACTGGAAAATCTTCACTTCAAACTGTGACATGACATCCCTGAGCCCTTCCCAACCTCATGCTCCCTTGGCTTCAGAATAAGTTTCTACCCAGTTCTGTGGATCTTTTTGACTTAAAAAAAATTACTTTTATTTTCGCCCCTCTACTGAGATGGAGCCAGGGCCTTGCACACACTAGGCAAACACTCCACTCTGAGCCACACCTCAGCACCCAGGTAACAGCCCCCTGAAGACATCTCTTCCAAGAGCCATGAGGCTAAAGGGGTCAGTCTTTTGTTCTGTCCAGGCCAGGACTTAAATGCAACAGCCAGCTGAGCCCCTTTGACCTGCCCTCCTGCAACACTTTTTGCTGTAGCCAGGGACCAATGCAGGCTGAGGCTGTTCTGAGACTGTATTTGGTGACAAGTCCTGTCTGGGGTGCATATGGCCACTGCCCAGCATCTCCAAACCAGACACTGGTGACCCAAGGTCCGATCTGCTGTGCTAAGCGCCCAGTAGTGAGAACACTGTATCCTCCATGCATGCTTGGGTCCTGCTGAGGCAAGGCAGCTGGGGACTGTTAAAATTTCTGACGAAATCCTTAGTTTCCAGCTTTTGGAATACTCACTCTATGTAGCTAATATATCAAGCCATGCAAAGAGCAAAAACTGCCTTGGCCTTCCTTCTCCGGTGAGTGAAAGCGTGCACTTTATTTATAGGCTATGGCTTCTGCAGTCATTCATTATCTATGTGTAATTTGGTCCAAATTAATTAGAAAGAATGATGTGTGTGAGTGGTTTTCAGTGGAGAGAAGATGTATGCACTATCACAAAAACACATTGTCATTTGGATGAAATAAAATCTTTAATGTCCTTAACTGGAGTGTGGTTATCAAGCCAGTCTGTGATTAGTGGCACCTGAACAGGACACAGAGCTAACTCAAAACACATAGAAGCCATTCCGTGATTCCTCAGCACCTACTGTATACCCAGTACATTCCAGCTCAGGGGCCTGTGCCTCAGGGACTGGGTATGAACACCCTGGGGCAAACAGCAGGTAGGAGAAGGAAGAGGACAACAGAGGGACCTATCCAGCCTGGGTCCACCCAGGCTGTTCATTGCTCAGGGCAACAGCATTCTTCCAAATGCCTTCCATCCTCAGCTGCAGCACACTGCTTCTCTGTTCTGTTACAATCAGCTCTTGATGGCAGTGTGAGGCTTGGGTCAGAGCTCCTGAGTTTGGCCAATGCACATCCTAGTGGAGGTTCAATTCCACCAGCTCAGGTCAGTTGTATTGAATTGTAGTCATTCCTTTGTCAGAGGTCTGAGCTTGTCCACATGACTTAATTCTGTGCTCTGTGTCCTGAGGGCCTGTGTGCTGGCTGTTTCCTTTCCAACCCATGGTATAGCCATTGTAGGTCCTGAAGTCAGGAAGTGTGTGCCCAAACTTTGTTCTTCCTCAGTACTGTGTTGGCTATTCTATGCCGTTGGTCTTCCCACAAGGTTTTATAATCAGTGTGTCCATACCTGTAAGACATGTAAGCTGGGTATGGAAGTACAGACTGTAATCCCAGCACTCAGGCAGAGCAGAAGAATCTCACACTATAGTAAGAGATTAATAGCAGCAGTAATAAAATCAAACAGCTATAGTAGTACACTGTCAGGAAAGTGCAACTTGGTTTCTCTTAACATATCATACTGCATGCATGTTTTCTTCCTGGGATGGTGTGAGATGACACAGTGGCTATGAGACATATGAGGTGTGGTGATGTCCTGGGCATTGTGACATAGCATTAACCTCCTAATTAAGCATTATCTGTTGATCTCATGACCAAGATGACTGCTGAGTGACTGACAAATGGGAGACATTTATGATGTGGGTGTGATAGACCAACGGGCAGGAGGCATGTACAGTGTGGGCATGCTAGACTAGTTTGCAGGTGTATACAGCAACGATGCTGTAAACTAGTGGACAGGAAGTGTACACAGCGTGCCTGTTCTAGGGTAGTGGGTAGGAAGCGTGTACACTGTGTTTGCTCTAGACTAATGGGCAGGAAGCATACACAGCATAAACACTGGGCAGAGGAAAGATCCACATGCCAAGTGGCTAGACCTAGACATTGTGAGATTTCATGACAACCCTCAGAATGTCATGTAATTTAAAATATATCAACCATTTATTTCTAGGATTTTTCCATTTAATATTTTAGACTGTGGTATATTCGGTAGCAGAAATTGTGAGAAACAAAACTTGATAAGGTAAGACAATTGTGACCACATAATACACTGTGACTATGGTTGAACTGTTAGTTTTAAAATCAGTTAAGAAGCCAAACCAACATTTTATTCCACCTTCTGTTCTTTGGTCTCCAATATACCACTGCTCAGATTTGTTCTTCATGTTGACTCGGGTTCATATCTTGTGGCTCTATTTCTTTCTGAAGAAATTCTTTTACCATTTCTTGTGAGGAAGGCATGCTGGGCATGAATTCCTAGTTGGCTTGTCTGAGAGAGACTTTATTTTCTTTCTTCACAGGATAATTTTTCTGGAATTATGTAATTTTATGCTAGCGTGTTTTCTTCTTTGAATTGATTGAATATTTCCCTCTACCATCTTTCTGTACAAAGGTGAGGGGAAGTCCCCTGTAATTCTATTCTTAAAGCTCTGTGGGTAAGCTGTTTTTACCCCTTTGATGTAAGGAGAGGTTTTTCTAGGGTTTGCACAATTTTAGTGCCATGTCTTGGATGATTCTCTCTCTCTCTCTCTCTCTCTCTCTCTCTCTCTCTCGTGTGTGTGTGTGTGTGTGTGTCTGTCTGTCTGTCTGTCTGTCTGTCTTGCTTCATGTTCTCTGGGCTTCCTGCATCTGTGGTTGATATGTTGGGAAGTCCTCAGTCATTTTGTTTGCTTTTATTGCATTTATTTATTTAGAAGGAGCAAGAGTGAGAGCAAAAAAAAGAACGAGAAAGAGAGACTGTCACAGCATACATTGTGGAAGTCAGAGGATAACGTTCAGGAGTCAGTTTCTCTCCTTCCACCATGTGGGTTCTGGGGATCAAACTCAGGTTCTCAGGCTTGGCAGCAGGTGCAGTTCCCTGCTGAGCCATCTTACCAGCCCAGTCTTTTTTTGCAAATATTTCTTTTGTACCAATTCTCTCTTCCCTCTACCGTTCCAGGTGCACACAGCTTCTTTCTTCATAGCAGTGCCACAGCTCCCAGGTGCTCTTATCCTGCTCTCTCTTTGGTCTACAGTTCTGTTTGGGAAGTTTCTTGGTCTTTTTTCAATTTGTGGACTTCTTCCTGGCTGCCTGAAATCTCCATGATGGTCAGGGGCTTGCAGCTATACTGTGGAAGGGCTCTAAGTTGGGGCATTTCGTACTGATGGTAGTTTTTATGTTCCTCTGCTGCCCTCCCCCATTAGTCTTACAGTGAGTTCCTTTTCCATGATGAATCTTAATATGTTAATCACAAGAACTTTAAATCCAAGCCTGGTAATTCCAACAGTGGTGTCTCACATGAGCCTGTTTCTGATGACTGCGTGGTTTTCTTGCCTTTGGGATGCCCGTTTACTCTGAGTATTGGGAAGGAGGTACGTGGGTCTTTGAGAGGACCTATGGTACTCTGGTCTAAAATGTTCTTCGTTGGACTGGCAGGATGGCTCAGTGGTTAAAAGCACTTGCCACACAAGCCTGAAGACCTGAATTTGATCCTTGGAACCCTCAGTGAGAGAACGGATGCCTAAACATTGTCCTCTGACTCCATGCGTGCCCGTGCAGGCTCACACATGCAAATAATAATTTTAAGAATCCTCAAATGTCCTCTGTTGTCTCATCCTTTCTAGAGATTAGCTTAGATAAAGACATAGAAGCCCCCCCCAGCCCCCTGACCTATGAGGGTGGCTGTCCCTATTTCCCAGGAATACTGTGGTGTCAATCTCAGAGCCCTTGGGTGGCACAGAGGAAATGCTAGGTACAGCTGATCAATGAGGACGACTTTGGAAAGGGAGCTGGATCCCTAACTGGGGCAGAACTGCCCAGGGATCAACCCTGGAGCCCCCTTGTGGCCACCATTGAGAGAGAAGAGTGTCCCTTCCTGTCACCAATGGACAGAGCTTCTGATGGGTCATAGCAGGGACCCCAGAATATCCCTGGTAGGAAGGACCCCACATACCTCTGGCTTGAAGTTGAGGGAGGGTCCTGGGGGATGCCATTTGCTACCCTCAAATGCCCTCAGGCAGACAGAGAAGTTCTCACTTAGAGGATATTTAATCAGGAAAGAAGGACGGGCCTAATGGAGCCTGTCCAGGGAATGGGATTTTAGTGCCTCCTGCTCCCAGCTCAGCTGCTCTGTAATTGCCTCCACACCCTCCTCCGCATCTATCTGGTTAGCAGCTGTGCACTCACTCAGTCATGCTGCCCACACCTTCTACTCTGGACCTGCTTTTGTAGCTCTCCGGGCTTCCCTAGGTCGGTCATAAGAGAGTGGCTGCCCACCCTCTTCTCTCTCTGCATGCTGTAGATGAACACTGGCCAGACACCTTCCCCATGGGCTGGGGTATACAGCACCCTCCCTCTCATCTGGCCCTGCTTGAAGAATCATCGCTTTTCCTGTGGTATCCCAGGGGGCAGGCTGAGGCTGCCAGTTGCCACAGCTCTGTGTGAAGCTGGTGCCAAAGCTGGGAGGAGGCTGGGGCAGGTTGGACTGGAGTCAGGTGGGGTGGTAGACTTCTTATCCCAGGCTGATGGAGTGTAGACCTGGAGGCTGGAGCTCCAACAGTCACAGTGGAACTTTAGGGGGGATCAAACATGGAAGACACCCTGGAGACAGGACAGAGCAGGCCCTTCCTCACAGTGGTGAACATGAGGTCAGCTTTGGGCTATACTCTCCACCCTGATTTGTGAGGGAAGCAAGCTTCAGTCCTGTCAGCCACTTACTCTCACCCTGTCCCACCTGTTACTTGAGGAGTGTTTCCTTGTGATCTGTGGGTTTACTGCAGAAGGCAATTCCCCTGCCCCCTGGAGTTTAGCCACACCCCTCAGCACATCCACAGTCCCCCATGCTCCCCCATGACCCTCTGCCTCAGCATGCATAGTCCCCAGCGGCCCCTGCTGTGGTAAATGGCACCTGCTGGTCTTTTGCTTTAGCAGTTCTGAAAGCTGCAGGGGGCACTGTGGTGTAGAACCCCAACCCCTGAGCAGCAGGGCCTAGTGTGTTCTTGCCTCTGGCACAACAGTTGTGCTCCCTGCTATGCAGGACACTCATCCAGCCCCTGCCAGCTGAGCCACAGTTGGAAGAGCCTGATGGAGCTCCACACAGATAGTGTTCCAGGGGCTGATCCATCCCTCTCCAGCCTGTCCTCACCTGGTTGCCCCATGAGCTTCCTCCCAGGGCACATCCGCCCGAGTGTGGCAGTGATAGGCAGTTGGACAGCAGTGGGTGGTGACAGAAGGCACCAGCAGGTGCACCAGCGTTCTGTCTCTGTTCTTCCTTACCTGCCCTGGCAGGGTGCCCGCTTAAGGTGTCACCCGTCTCTGAAACCTAGAGACAAAGTTATGACTTTGTCATGACTAGACACAGTCATGACTGTGTCCCTGGAGACACTTCTGATTTTCTGCTGAGCTGTGGTCTTTCTCTGGTTTTCTGCTTTGTCCAACCACCTCTGGCTGTGTCTTCTGCAATCCCCCAGTTGGGCATTATGTGGCGTCAGAAAGGAGGTCCAAAAGAGTATGAAACACATCAAAGGCTGGCAGCCAGTTCAGGAAAGTGGGTGGGGACACCAGCTCTGAATACCCAGGGACAGTCTATGGCCTCAGCATAAACTCGAGGCTCTGTAATCTTAGTCTCTCATCTGCCTGGCTCAAAGTTCTCACCAAATGTTGC